TCCTCCCTCCATTCTAGCCAGCCGGGCTCAAAGGTTTTGCGGGTATGCCTGATATGTTCAGGCCAACCAGGGATCCAGCCGGGGTTTCCCACGGGGCTCCAGTATTCCGTAGTGGCACCCTACTGCCATCTTATTTTATGCTTTCTACTTTTTTCTTCCTCTACACATCCTTGGTAGTCTTTATTTAAAAATTTACTATAGAGCCCGAGTGTTCACCAGTGCGACGGGAGTTGGGGTGGGGGGGAGTTAATGAGAAATCACCCTCCAGCGGGATCCATTCCGCAATCTTTTCTCCTCCATTCTCCTCTCACACAAGCCCCTTGGCATTTTTCCAAACTGCTGAGTCTGGGACTTGAACTGTGCAGTTGGCCATTTGTGATTCAATCATCTTAACCACTACATTACTGGCTGGCCCAGTAGTGATCATTGAAATGACTTATTTACCATGACAGTTCTATATCAACTGCTACATATTTCTTCTGGCGTGCAGATTGAAGGGCTAATAATACTATGATTTTCACTGATACCTTTAGGTGGCTGCTATGTTGGCAGGTTCTGAGGTTGTTGAGGTTCCCTGCTTGGCCTGTTTAGGCACCGAGTGAATGTCGGGACTGTGCTGCCTGCTTATGAACTGCTTCAGAAAAACGTTAAGGTCAAATGCTAAGGAATTGTCAGAGCTGTCCTTTAGGCCTAGCTTGCCCTGGAGAGGTTCATCTCTGAATTTTTTCAATTTCATAACATTACTCGGTGTCACCACTAGAGGGAGGTCACACATAGCTGTTTGCAAAATGGTCCTCTGGGTCCCTAATTTTTATCAAAGACCTGCCAATAGTGCACCAAATGAAGAACAGAGAGGAGGAGGAAGGAAAGGAGGAGGAGAGAGAAGAACACAAACCCTTCCTACTTTTATGAAGACATACAAAAGCAGCCTCAGAATAGTACACAGCTAATTAGAACGAAGTCAAAGCCGAGATTGTCAGAACGCAAGGAAGCAAACCCAAGTCCATGCTGCTGCCACACACACAAATGCACTTTAAATGGAACAAACCTAGGAAGAGACATATAAAGAACATTATTGGTCTCAGCATGGTGGTTAAGGTGGTTTGATTCCACATGGCCAATTGTGTAGTTCAAGTCCTGGACCCGGCAGCTTGAGAAACACACTGGTTACGTGTGAATGTGTGCTCAAAACAGATGGTGGTTAAGGCGTTGGACTCCACATGGCCAACCGTAGTTTGAGTCCTGGACCCAGTGGCTTGAAAACTCATACTGGGCACGTTTGAATGCATGCCCAAGAGGCCAAGAAGAGAATGGAGGAGAAGGAATTGGGGGTGACCATTCCCCCTGGGGGGTGATTTCTCACTTTCCCTGTCTCTGTCTCTCTTCGTCTCTCTCTGCTGAGTGCATACACCCTATGACAAAAAACCTAAAAAAAAAAAAAAAGAAAAGAAAAAAAAAGAAAAAAGGAATACCCTCAAGTCAAAGGAGAGCAATGAGATGTTTAAGAAAATATCTTGAAATCATTAAGCACTGCAACAGAAGTGAAAAATCTCTCTATGGGCCCGAATTCCTGGAAGCACAAAGAACTCAGGACAAGTTTCAGTGGTATTTTCTCTTCACTTTCAGGTACCCTGAAGGCTGTAAGTGGATGGGGTGGTGACTGACCTGCGAAGTAATATTGGCTACAACAGTCCTGCCAATAGCAGCTGATGTTCTCGAGCTCTTATTGTGTGCTAGGTACCGCCAACCACAGACATTTTCTTCTTCAAGCCACACAAAGTGCTTTTAAATAGACACTATTGTTATTCTCATTTTACAGTTAAGAAAATTGAGATACCAGTTGAAAAAGCCCACTTAACCAAGAAAACGATGAGTAGCCAGTTGATTTTGTTTTGTTTTCAAAATTATCGGTGATTCTTAATGGTGTTGTTGGCAGAAAGTGCATTTCGATTAAAACTCCAGGCCTGCCCATGGCCTGGTGGTTAAAGGAGCTGGATCCTACTCGCCAGGAAAATAAAAGATGCAGCCACTTTGGAAAACGATTTCACATCTACTAGTGCTAAACATACGCAGACCTTCTACCCACCAACTCCACTAAGGTACACGTAGTACAGTTCAACCTGGTTAACACACAAAACCATCACAGGGGAATGCTAAGTGGAGTGGCCTGGTAAAGAGAAGACCTGGTTAACCACCTTTTCCCAAGAGGCTGTCAAGAGGTACGCAGTAGGTCCTCAGTGTTCATACTGAGGCAGGGCACTGGGACTCTAAAAGTATAGTTAGGGTATAGGTCCAAAATAGAATCACGAAATGGGTAAGTTTTTTTAATTTTTATTTTTTTAAGAGAGATTTCTTGCTCTAGGGTGCATGTGCTTGCCAAAGACACAAGAGGGAAAGTAAGAACTCACGCCCCAGAGGGGATGGCCACGCTACAATTCTCTCTCCTTCATTTTTCTCCTGGGATTTTGGGTACAAACACACAACCTGAATTTCAGGCCTCTAGGTCTGGGACTCACACCGTGGTCTGCCATGCGGGAGTCCAGAGACCACTGCTAAGCCATGGGCTGGTCCCCCGTGGCTAAGTTGTAATGATCCGGAGAGGAGAATGGAGGAGAAGGGATTGTGGCATGGCCATCCCCCCTGGAGGGTGATTTCTCGCTTTCTGTCTCTCTGTCTCTCTCTGTCTGTCTGGCGAGCGCAGGCGCCCTATAGCGAAAACCTCTCAAAAAAAAAAAAATGGGAACCAGCAGTTAGCATAATGGAGACACAGCAGCTAGGTGCTAGCTCAGAGCAAAGGCTCGCAGCCTTGGCTGGTGATTGACCTAGAGCAAAGAACTGAGGTTTTTCCAGGCCTTACCACATTCCAGGAAGAAGATAAGATAATGGTTTTTATGGCCCAGTGGTCTCTATGGCCCAAAGCTTTTAGAATCACAAAATGTTTTTAGACGAATAACCTCCTGACTTTCTTATCCCCTCCCTAATTGAGAGAAATAACCAGACCCTTCTAGAACGCAACCCCTGGTACCCTCAGGGAGACATACGCAGGAGATGCCCAGACAAAGTCCCTCTGACCCAGACACCAGGCCCGGGCCCCAGTCCTCCGTGGCACTCTGTTTGGGAGCCCTGTTTTTCCTGCCCTCCCCAGTAGACGCTGGCTGTACCCTCTGTGGCCGGCTCTAACTCTTCATGGGCTGAGGGCAGCAGAGCCGGAGTTCCGCACGGGGGCTGATCACCCCGCTCCCAGCCCCTGCGTCAATTCTGAGAAGGCCACAGAAGGCGCTCCTGAAGAATCCGTCTCCGATTTAGCGAAAGAGGAGCGAGGTCGCAGCTTCAGCAGAAAGATTTGCGCTCCCGTCGCTTTGACTCCTCGCAGTGTCCCCCCCAGCCAGGCGCACTCTGGGTGTCAGAGAAGCGGAATATCCGCGCTGGGACGTCCCGGCCCGCAGCTCCCCAACTCCCGGGAGAAGTCTCCGAACCGGAGGGCCGACCGGGCCCCGCACCCACTCTCTCCCGCCGCCCCTGCGGGACACTCGGGCCCAGGGAGTGGCGGGCACCCCGGGGGGGAAACCCGCGTCCCAGCTCCTCCCGCACGCGCGGCCTCTGCAGGCCCTGCGGGTGGCTCCGGGAAGCGCAGCGGGCGGACGCCGTGCGGGTTCGGGGCCAGCTCCGCCCGCAGAGCCCTGGTCGCGCCGCGCAGCGCCTCAGAGCTCCTTCGGGGACAGAAAAGGGGACCCGGCGGGCAGCAGCTACGGTGGCGAGGTTGTCGGCCACACGACCGGGGGCGCGGCCTCTGCAGGCCCTGCGGGTGGCTCCGGGAAGCGCAGCGGGCGGACGCCGTGCGGGTTCGGGGCCAGCTCCGCCCGCAGAGCCCTGGTCGCGCCGCGCAGCGCCTCAGAGCTCCTTCGGGGACAGAAAAGGGGACCCGGCGGGCAGCAGCTACGGTGGCGAGGTTGTCGGCCACACGACCGGGGTCTGAACTAGACGCGGGTGGGCGTCGGCGGGAGGCTGGGAGGAAGCGGGTTCTGGGCGGGCGGCGGCGCTTTCCGCTCCCAACTCCGCGTCGGCGTCTCCGCCCGCACCCGCCGCCCGGCCCGGGAGAACCCCGACCTCCGGGCGCGCGGGCCGGCCCCGG